GTAGGTTCCGGACGTTTGAAACTCGAAACGAACCAGTAAGTTTCGCAACAATTGTTGCGAAACTTAATTTTAATTTTTTTTTTAAAAGAAACGATATTAACGTACGTTTCTTTTAATTTTTGTAGGTTCCGGACGTTTGGATAATGGAAATCGAAACGAACCGGTGAGTTTCGCAATATTGTATTGCGAAACTTATTTTTTTAATTATTTTTTTTTAAAGAAACGATACTAAACGTTTCTTTCTTTTAATTTTGTAGGTTCCGGACGTTTGGATAATGGAAATCGAAACGAACCGATAAGTTTCGCAACATTGTGTTGCGAAACTTAATTTTATTCTTTTTTTTTTAAAAGAAACGTTTATATTAACGTTTCTTTTTTAATTTTTGTAGGTTCCGGACGTTAGAATGATGGAAACGACCGGTAAGTTTCGCAATGTTACATTGCGAAACTTAATTTTGTTTTTTTTTTATTAAAAGAAACGTTTATATTAACGTTCCTTTTTTACTTTTTGTAGGTTCCGGACGTTAGAATGATGAAAACGACCGGTAAGTTTCGCAATGTTACATTGCGAAACTTAATTTTTGTTCTTTTTTTATTAAAAGAAACGATAACTAACGTTTCTTTTTTACTTTTTGTAGGTTCTGGACGTTTGGATAATAGAAATCGAAACGAACCGGTAAGTTTCGCAACATTGTGTTGTGAAACTTAATTTTTATTCTTTTTTTTTTTAAAAGAAACATTACCTAACGTTTCTTTTTTACTTTTTGTAGGTTCTGGACGTTTGGATAATGGAACTCAAAACGAACCGGTGAGTTTCGCAACATTGGTTGTGAAACTTTTATTAATTTTTTTTTAAGAAACGTTAACTAACGTTTCTTTACTTTCTTTTTTGTAGGTTTTCGTTAGCTTCTACTTGGCATCGGACATTAGATACATGAATGAATTAGAGGTGCGGATTACCCATGGATTATTGGATATCTGATGAATATAGATTAATATAGATTCTCATTGTTAAATAATAATTGTGCATTTGTTAATAAATAATATTGTAATAAATTATGTAAAATTATTAAATCAATGTTTTAAATTGTTATAACGTTTACACTAAATTGTTTAAAATTATTACTAAATTTCACTCAATTGTCCGAAATTATTGCAAAATTTCACTTAATTGTCCAAAATTATTGCAAAATTTCACTAAATTGTCTCCGAAAATGTTGCATTTATACCGTTTACACTCAATTGTTCAAAATCGGTAAAACATTTTCACTCAATTATCTGAAATTATCCTAAATTTCACTAAATTATTCAAAAATTTAGCTAACATTTACCGAAAAAATGCAAAATTAACCACAATTTTTCACAATTAGCATTACGTTTGCACAACATTGCTGAAAAATCCTCCTAAATTTTCAACAATTTATATAACATTACTAAAAATACACTATAATTTACCACAATTTGCATTACGTTTACATAAAATTACTAAAAATTTACTATAATTTATCACAATTTACATTACGTTTGCATAACATTACTAAAAATTTGACTAAATTCACCACAATTTGCATTACATTTACTAAATTCACCACAATTTGCATTACGTTTACATAAAATTACTAAAAATTTAACTAAATTCACCACAATTTGCACTTCGTTTACATAAAATTACTAAAATTTAACTAAATTCACCACAATTTGCACTTCGTTTACATAACATTTCTAAAAATTTAACTAAATTCACCACAATTTGCATTACGTTTGCATAAAATTACTAAAAATTTGCCTAAAATTCACCACAATTTACATTACATTTGCATAAAATTACTAAAAATTTAACTAAATTCACCACAATTTGCATTACGTTTACATAACATTACTAAAAATTTAACTAAATTCACCACAATTTGCATTACGTTTACATAACATTACTAAAAATTTAACTAAATTCACCACAATTTGCATTACGTTTACATAAAATTACTAAAAATTTAACTAAATTCACCACAATTTGCACTTCGTTTGCATAACATTACTAAAGATTTGCCTAAAATTTCCCACAATTTAATGATAATTTACTGAAAAATTTCTCAACATTTGAATTAGGAATTCTGTAGGAATTCCGCCATTTTGACAAAATTTGCCAAATTGTAAGTCCTCCATTATCCCAAAATTGTAACCCAATTTACCCCAATTTACCGGGATAATTCTCAATTTGCCAGAAAATAAAATTCCAGGCAAATTTTGTGACAATGACATCTGTTCGACCTGTGCATACAATGTGACCGAGGACCTTTTCTACCTTAACTTGCAAATTCTCATCTTTGTACACAACGGTCACTGGTTCCGATAACTTAAACGATGGCTTCCCCTCATTATCTAGCGAACATTCCATAAAATACCATTCAGATGCATCGGTAACAATCCCAAATACCCTATCAACATCCTGCCCATTATCGATTTCATCTGCCTTGCGTTTACGTGACAAAGTTGACTCCATCTGCACAGACGCCTGGGCAAATCCCTTCATAAAATCTTCTTTCTTAACTTCGATTACACCAAGGACTCTACCCGTCGAACGACACTACTGCATAATCGAGGTTCCCTTGCCCATTTTGACCCTCGATAAGTTTTTCTGGTATAAGCTTGAAATTATCTTTGTAGAGCGAAACCCCGAAAGCGAGATAACAGTAAGAATAAATACTTTTCGTTGCCTCATTTGCCTTGTTGAGAGGAGTAACATCTTGACGAAGTTTTATTTCAGCCATTAGATGTTTAATCACGGCTTTGGACTCATCACTATTTAGGTCTGCAGAACCACATGAAAAGGGAGGGAACACGTCAATGTCGGGATTCGGGTCATTGCTAATACCATAAAGCTGGCACACTTTTGGAAACGACCAATCTGAGAAAGGTTTTGATGGTGTCTCGATGAATACAGTAAACTTGAGTTTTTTATTTGACACGAATATGCGGAGGATTTCACGAAGGTCTTGAGGTGAATATTTGTCTCCATCATTCATTAAGTTGAGTTCCGCCCCATCATTTTCAAGTGCGGGTGGTTGATACATCTTGCGTATATATTCCTTGAGGCCTTCGAGAGTCGCATGTTCGATATTTGCGGTCCACTTATTTGGCTTCCGTTTCGGGTGAACAACGACGTCGAAATCTATAATACAATGGTCAGTTAGAAAATTCTCATGAAGTCTCTCTTCCGACTATTTTATACATACCATGTGTGGACTTGTTGAGTAATGCCTGCAACGAAGCGACTTGGTCAAGTAATTCCTTTACCTCTTGGCTCGAAGTGGTGGTGGACTCTGGTGGTTCGACTAAGACATGAATACGCTTCTTGGGCGGTTTCTCGATCCAGTATTCTCCAATTTCGTTTATTGCTAACAGCTCGTCACTGTCCTGGAGTGAGAGATTACTTAAGGGATCGACCTGATCGTCAGAGATTGGCACCTTCCATAGCTTGAGCCTGTCTGCGTCTATTCCAGCAAAGTCATTTTGTTTTTCTACCTTTATAGCTTTCTTGAGGTGGCTAACCAACTTTTCCCTATCAATATCTACGGCAAAGGCACTAGCAGTCGTATTTCCTTTAATGAGACATAGTAAAGTGATAGACATGTTTTCGGCTTATATAGTATTTTTTGTGAAATTTTATTGGTGCAAACTAGCGTATGTGAGGACAAGAGTAAAAAAGAATTTTATTTGCGAAAAAATACTGAGGGCTGGTATATGTGAGAAATTCAACTGTTTCACAAGGAGACCTGCTGTGCGATCAGCCTTGCATCATACAGTAGGTGCAACAATGCCCTAATCACTGCTCTTCTCACTTATCACCTGATATAGTACTACGCTTTTTATATAGGCTCGGATAAAAATGTTAGCGGATTTATATTACATGGACCGCATCATTTCACGTGACCCGCTTCTCATATATTGATAAGATAATAATACTTTATTTATGAAATAAAATGTTGCCGGAACCCGGCCTACAATACATAAAAATTGCGATATACTTCATGGCTAAGGCCTATCGCTATTACATGATATAGGAAATATTATTCAGGAGAAAGGGGAGGGTAGACAAAAATATGAATCATATCTTCATCCGGATTCTCAGGAAAATAATCCAAAATCATATTCTCTGGTTGCATACGTCTTCTTTGTATACTGGTTGGATAAATTTGTTGAAGATGAAAGTTATGCGGACGGACTGGAAGATGAGGCGCTAATATACCCCTAACTCTATCCGCAATAACAGAGACAAGGTCGTTCTTGGAAACCTCGATCACGAAAATTACATTTCTATTTTGACTATTACGGAAACGGAGGTTGAGGCTTATAATATCGCTATTATCGGTGGTAGTCATCTTGCTTCTTGTTATCTATCAGTAATAAGCCTATAGTGAGAAACTTCTTTCGGCTTGGTGCTCGTACATACATAACTTCTGACATATACATACCTTAGCGAAGCACTTACAGGTAAATTTTTCGCAGGAAAGTTGGCTGAACTTCCACATACCCCTACATGCTTTATATCTTGCTGTTGGGAAGGAAAAAAGATAAGGAGGTATATGGCGTAATTAGTATTGTCGTCTGATGCCAAGAGTCCTATGAAAGCGCATGCAAACGGAATTCTCATACCTTTTCACATGGAGATCTACCTTGCAAGACATATAGTTGGACTAACGCCCGGCGATCTCGAAAATTGTGAATCCCTCAGCCTTTCATAACATATGCTTTTGACGTTAATATTTACTTTTAGAGCTGGTCCTGTGTTGCGTCTAGACTTTCTTTCACATTTTTCTCATGTTCGTTTGGGAAAAAAAATAGGGTACTGGTTAGCTAATATTTTCCTTTCGTTATATGCGAGAATTAATATGTCACACGAGACCCACGAGACCTGACTGATGATCCACTTATTTTTTGTCGCACAGGAGTGGCCCAGAAAAATCTTCTGAGCAACACTTTCTATTATTCGGAAAGTAGTTCTAGCGTTCAAGCCTTTCTATCAATTCATCCAAAGGAAGACACTTTCCCCATGATTTGACTTCTTCTTGATTTGTAAGTGAAAGTCCACGAAATATTTTTTCTCTATGCTCTATATCTTCCTCATCACATCCGGAAAGCTTTCTAAGCCTTTCTAATTTTTGATAAAATTTCCTTACCGATTCATTACCTTGTTTCAGCTCTCCCACTTTGTATTTCTGTATTTCGGTAGAAAGTGTTGGATCTCTAACTAAATATTTGACTATCTCTTTTAAAGGCTTTTCAAACCCAAACTCTTCTGCACGCTTTTCACTGTCAGGTGATAATCCACTAATGAATTTCACTTTAACGTCTATATCGTCTAAATCCTTACCAGTGCCCATAGCATAAAATTTTATGTACTCGAAATATTTACTAATAGAGCTATTACCTTGTATGGGAGCTGGTATCTGTATTTCTTGGTCACTTTGTAACCCTGGAGTGCTTGGAGGGGGTGATCGATCTACCCAATTAATAGTACTTCCCATTGTTATGTTTATTGCTAATAAATTATGCCATATTTTCAATCGAAAAAAAACTATCTATATTCGATCATTGTTTTGTTAGTACGTGGCCGGCAAAAATAAATTAATATGTCACACAAGACCTGACTGATCACTGACGATCCACTTATTTTTTGTCGCACAGGAGTGGCCCAGCAAATTCTTCCGAGCTGGTGATCATGCAAAGTGCCTCTCGGCCCGCTCCGGTTGATGATCAGTATTTCGGACATAAATTTGAATATATGCTAGCTAGGGATAAACACAATCATGACAATCAATACTAATATTAGTTCTGATAAAAGCGAAGCTCAATTATATGGAGTGCTTTTATATAAGAAGAAAGATATAATAGCTATTCAGAAAAAGCTCGGTATGCTTCCAGACCGGAGGAAGGGACCTATTGAGAATATATATCAAACAGCATTAAATCAAAGCAATAAAGGAAAAACACTTGAAGATTCGTTTGGGCTGTTATTTGATTTGGTGGGGGAATTAATAGATATACAGGGAGATCTCGATGTGGTCGGCCACCCCATTCTTACTACATTATATAAAAATATACAAGATTTTGATGATGTAACATTTGGGAAAATGTCACTTGGGACATTATATCATTTGCTTTTATATTTGGAAGAGGATATAAGCGTGATTCAAGATCATCTTGGCATTGTCGATCATTCTGTTCAGGAAATAAGTGGATTAGAAGAAGCCAATAAAAATGCAAGAGCATATCTTTAGAACTTCTGACGGTTCCTTACCTTTAGCAGGTCCCTATTGATGAATTTCTGTATTAACATGCCTGGACCATTTTCTGCCAAAGGCACAGTCCAAGAGGAGTAAAATGTTTTATTTTTCTGGAGAGACTACCGTTATTTCAATTGTGTCATTTGTGTGGAAAAATTTGGCTGGTACAGATAAGGTTGCTTGCCAAAACCTCTCCAAAATCCTGCGATAAATTTCGGCAAGATTTTACTATATGTTTACTATAGTTTCGGCAGGGTTTCAGCAGTTTCGGCAAATGGGAGTTTCGGCATTTCAGTAAAGTTTCGGCAGGATTTTTAATATGATTTAATATAGTTTCAGCATTTTCTGTATAGGTTTCAGCAGTTATTAAGAAGGTTTCAGCAAGCAACCTTAGGTACAGATCAGTGCTCATGCCTGGTATAAATTTAGTTAATCTATATTTTTTTTTGTTGTACAATCCGTGGCTCAGCAGGTTCTTCTGAGCTGGTGATCACTGCTCCGGACTAGCTAGATTGGTATTGAACCAGCGTTCTGCTAATAGGTCAGCTAGTACATTACCTAAAACTCTAATTGTATTGAAATTGGGTTGTCCGTGTATCTGATTTATGGCCGAATTCACAGCATATCCTTGGGGGAAAGCATTGAATAGAAAATCATTAAAATCATTAATAAAGCCAGAATGTGTTCTAGTGTCCGCAAAATCCTCAACGTGAATATTTGGGTTAAGTGAAATAAGCTGATCTACAGCTTCTTCGCTAATATTATAACACCCTTCCAAATCGAGATACTTTAAATTAAGACACGATTCAGCAATTTCTTTGATAGTTATATCAGTACTTTTACAAAAGCTAAGGTTGAGATGCTGGAGCCTTCGGCAAGAGCGAATAACATTACAAATTGATGTTTCAGTAAACTCTGTATGTCTAGAGATATTTAAATATTCTAAACTATGGCATGAATTTGTGATTGCAGTTAGACCTATATCATTTTCTCCAAATCTGGAGCAGAAACTGGCTATATTAAGATACTTCAAATTCAGATATGATTTCGCTATTAGCTTTAAAATTTTATCTGTATTGTCCGTACTTTCTTCGAAATCTAAATGAATTATATTTTTGAAAGTATGCACAATACCTCTGATTTTTCTATTTGTAAGTGAGCGGTAGTGTGCTATTTTAAGATGAGTTAGTTTCGAGCTATAAACTGGTTTTCTCCCTCCTCCAGGTACTATTTTTAAAAATCTTTCCAATCGAATTTTATCATTTACTTCATTCCCCTTTAGCTCAATACGCCTCCATAGGATAGGGGCACCACATCTATACCAAAGCCGGCTAACATATAAAGTGGAATAGAGGGATTTATCTATCAATAAGAAATGTAAAATATGTTCTAGTACTTCTGGTATAATAAAAATAGTTGATTGCGCCATAAATAGTCTGTATTATATGCTGTATCTTTAATCGAAAAAAATAAATTAGCCAGAATGCCTCTCTAACGCTTCAAGTTTAACCAGTCTATCTACTAGCTCATCTAAAGGAAGCTCTAATTCACATAATCTCGCTTCTAACTGATTTGCAAATGAGAGTCCACAGATAAATTTATTTTTTCTTTCCCTTTCATCACATCTAGAGAGGGTCATATACTTTTTATGTTTTTTATAAAAATCTTCTACTGAATCATTACCCTGCTTCAATCCCCATAGATGCCCCATAGAGGAACGGAAGATGTCATTTTATCTAAGAATTCAACCAATTCATTCAAAGGTCTTTCAGCTCCGAATCTAATCGCTCACTTTTTATTGTCGACTGATAAGCCAGCAAAGAAAGCTTTTTTGAGCTCTTCACTTTGCAAGTCCAAACCTGTTTCTGAAGCATATTGTTTTATAGCATCAGAATATACTTTTACTGATTGGTCTTGCTGGACCGGTGGTGGAATATCTTTTTTAGGTTCTAAGACTGGAGAGCTCGGAGGGGATGACTGATCTACCCAATTAATAGTATCTCTTATAAACATATCACTATATGATCCTCTCATTATTATGTTTATTTGCTAATAAATTATGCTATATCTTTAATCAAAAAAATAGCAAAGCACCTTACCCTGTGTGCCTTCAGCTGGGAAAATTACGCGATCACTGCTCCAGACTGGCATTTATTTCTGAATTTCAGCTAACATTGCATCGATTTCTGCTAACATTGAATCCATATCCATAGTCTGAGACTTTTTTGGATCATTATTTCTAGACTGAGATGTAGGTGAAGAAGCCTGTGTTTGGGTTTTGGACCATCACTTGACTCAGATTCAGGTTCAGATTTAGAATCAGATATGGGCTCCTTCGATTCTGGATCACCTAAAGCGTAATTTTTTCCCGCATCAAGATGGTTAATTTTATGTCTTAATGTGATTTCTGAAAGATTGTCGAGATGTTGAGGGGTTGGATTTGGACTGGCATAAACCATCGAAGCATGTTTAGCTCCTGTTTTTCTTAGAAGCTTGGAGGTAATCTCATCTTTATCCTGATTAGTTTTTAAACTCTTTATGAATTTGGCAAATGGCACATTATTACGCTTTCCAGTTTCAGTATAAACTGGATCACGCAACTTCTCAGCCTTAATAGCGTCTTGAATCCAGGTAAGTAATTCTCTAGCATGTTCTAGATCCTTTTCCATAGAAAGTAAGCGCATAGGCATCAGTTTATCTCTCTGTTTGCGACATCCAGTGCAATACCAAGAATAACCAGCTTTATACCACGCTGGCGGATCTTTGGAATCTGGTTTGTAATTAATAATCTGGAGAGATGATACTTCAGCAGGCCTCATGCTCAGCATCACTATCACATCCGCAAGATCCTGCATAGAGGGAATTTTAGAAATATCGATATTCTGGAGTCTCCTAAGCACCTTCTCAAAGGTAAAATGTTTTGGAGTTCTACCTGGGTTAGCCAAGCGCTTCTCAGTCCGCTCTTGCTAGATTTTGTTGGAAGCCGTAGTGGTCTTTGAATCCATGGTATAGCGATCAATAAGTTCAGGATCGGCCCCATACTCTGCTAAATACTTACGAAATTGTGATTGGTTTGAGCTAGAAGCAACCATTTCCTTATCATCAATTACTCCATCCTTATTTCCTTTTGGTTCCAAAGATAAAGTATTAATGAAAATATCCTACTTATCTTCGCTTTTAGCAACTTCTTGGGCCCTTTTCCTGACAGAATATATTTTATTTCTCTGATTCGGCACGAGAGCCTCTATCTGCTCTTTGCTAAATACACTTCTTTTTTCAGTGCCTCTTGCAAGAGCTTCCTTAACACACTTACGGGCCTTTCAATCTGGAAGTAAAGCATTAAGTTCAGGGGCATGTTCGCTTAATTGCTCTGGGCTGGACCCTGCAAATAAGCTATATCTTTCTAAGAACTGTTCTAGAATCAAAACGAATTTATTACACAGGTCGAAAAGTGAAAAATCAGGCACCAATCAGTCACCAATCAGGTAGCTGATTGGTGACTGATTGGTGACTGATTGATGCCTGATTTTTCACTTTTCGACCTGTGTTAGTTTTCACTTTCCGGGTCTTTTAGGTGGGTTCTGCAGTAGACATGTCGATATAAGTAGACTTTAGTTGTTTCTTCTACTTATATTATATGAGAAAAAGTTCAATTCGAAAAAAATATTCCACCTGGCTGGGGTTCTCCAAACCAGGCACTTTGCATGACCATTTCTTCAATTATATCCCAGAAGATATGACCCACTGAGAGTATCGCATTTTTGAATATCTATAATAAAAGTGAAAATGAAGTTTTGAGATTATTAATATCAAACTTACCTTGTATGGATCGTCTAACCTGCCAATACATTAAGAAAAATAATTCAAAATTACCTCGTATAGGTCGTTTTATCTGCCAATACATCAAGAGAGATGGTTTGATTTGTGGGAAAGGGTGCTGACGTCCTGAAGGATGTTCCAGACATTTTAATGCCCATCCTAGAACAATATGCCCTGTCTGTAAGCAGGGAACCTATTCCGATACTGGAATCTGTAGCACGCATGGTGGAATTTATGACCATGCTTGGTGCGAAAGTAAAAAAACTAAAACAGAATCAGATATGATTGAGACATCTAGCTGAATAATAATCTGGCCAAAGTATTATTTTTCCTATCCTATAGAGTCAAAGAGTTTCTGAATATCATTATCTGTTTTTGGCTTGTATGATGGAAGCTCTGGTGCACCTTTATCTCCAAAACCAAGACCATCATATGGTTGCCGATTAATTTGATATGAACATTCCTAAACTCGTTGTTCTTTAGATCCTATTTTTTTCCTATTTATCTTTACAGTATAACCACACCAATTCCCAGCAATTGCATTAATTGCCCTTATAGCTGAATTAAAATCTGATATTTCTTTAGCATGAGACTTAAATTCGAAGAGTAATAGGGACTGATCCAGAGCTACTATAAACCTTTCGTAAGATTGTGTAAATGTTTCTGATACTATATTACTAGAAAGAATACACTTATCATCTATGCCAGTAAAGCCTAGTATTTGAAAGAGTTCCCTTATAACTTTCCAATGATTAGCTGAATATGATTTGTGCAAGTCCTCCGCTACTGATTTTTCAGAATTATATCTAGCTTTATAATGGCTATCTTCCCATTGCGCAATATCTTTGACCTCTAACCCTTTCATTGCACTTTCCTCATCATAGCCTTGCTTTCTAAAGTGAGATAACCGCAAGAAATGTTTCCGAAGTTCAGGCGGACTGAAATGTTTTACAAACTTTTTATTGCAAAGATTATCCCAAATCTCATTGTCTATATCTTTACCATAAATATTTCGCATATAGAAACGTTTAAGTGCCATAGTATCTGGGATAGAGCGTTCTTGGTCAAACTTAAGATTTTCAGCTTCTTCAGGATCAAGATTCTGGAAAGTAGCAACTGCATCAAAATCTGTTTCCTTGATAACTAGTGCTTCAACCCTAACCTCATTGCGGACTTTTTTACGATTCCCTATAACTCCTCAGCTCTTATCCATTTTTATTAGTTGGAGAGAAGCACCAGTACTGGCTATAAGACTACAAAGCTTCTCAATAAAATATCTCGCAGAAAGCCGTTTCTGATGCTCAACTTCGACAAATGTTATTACAGCAGGAGATTCATCAATTTTATAAGAAACGGTGTTGCTATCCCATTCATGGTGATCCTTTATTGATGTAGGCAAATTATTAGGTCGAGCACTTTCAAGTTCTGCTCAGATATTTTCACGACCTAGTAGACGAAAAAGTTCATTAGATTTTTTTTGATAAAACACAGAAATAATACGACGAGGACCGTCACGAATTCAATAAAGCATTTGCGCAAGAGCCTCAACATGAACTGGAGTGGCGATGTTTGTAATAGCTATAACTATATCAAAGTGATCTGTAACCTTGAATGATATTCCCGCCTCCACTGTATTTGTGTAGGCTATATAGTCAAGCTCGCCCCAAGTAACATCAATATTAGAGAAGTCTTTTTGTCTCTGCTTCCCATCCATATTCCCATAATATGCACGGGCTTTAACAGGAGAATTATCGGGTTTAGACAACTTAGATACTTTTTCTACTAATGCTCTAGCCATCACTGCTCCAGTAGATACGAATGCCACACGTTTGCCCTGTCTCAAAAGATCATATCCTATTCGCATGGCTTCAGCTCCACTATTTGGATCATAAATAAATTCAACTGTCTCGCCTATATGAGGCTGATACTTATTATCAACTATGCGAATATTTTCACCACGATAAGTCTGGAGGAAGGTTAGTGTTGATTTATTTGCAAAAGCATCCATGGCTAAAACATGTCTCACAGATCTTAAAACATCACGCATTGCATTCTCAGACTCCCGTGCATTTGTACTGCTGGACATTTGACGCATGATGGCATTGGCTTCATCAAGAATAGCTACAAATGGACGGGCTGTGAACTCAATACGGAAAAGACTCTCAACCTGTACTATGATAATATCCCACTCATTTATAGATAAGTCTCCTTATATATTTTGATAATTGCAAATTCGAAAACCAGATGCTTTTAGCTTATCAAGCTTCATTTTTAATTCATTACTAAGAGACTTTCGGTAAGAAACCCAAATATAACATGGCAAAGAAGAGGGATCATGTACTTTATTTTTCAATGCCATAATAATCTCTCTTAATGTAGTGGTTTTTCATGTTCCCAGAGGAGAACGAATAAATGTTGTTATTTTCTCAATACCCAAGAAATCGGGATATACTTCTGGAACATCCTTTAATTTTTCTACATTAATCATCATTTCTGATAATCCTACAAGAAGGCGTGGATTTGATATAGCATCACCTATTCTTTTGACTATTCCTCTCTTAGGTTTTGCAGAAATTTCGGTCACTTTTCCAAACGCTAATCCCTTATGATCTGGTTTATAATTTTTCTGCCGATAGCATTTGAGTACAAAACAGCCATTACTTCGAAGAAAGCCATATAACTGGTCTTTTTCATATTTGATTTCACAAATAGGACATGCTTCATATAATTGGGCTTGAAAGTGAACAAATCCATTCCCAATTTTTTCGATCTCAAGCCATCCATATTTTGCGATAACTAAGCTGGCTCCATTACTTAAGGCGGTTTCATCTTCGATGGGCTGAAATTTCTTCTCTTCTTTCTCAGGAGAAAAGGTCTGTGGCCAGATTTCAAAAACATCCAATTTAGGCTAAACTAAATAATCTTTTAGCTTGCAATATCCATTCTTAACTGAAGATATCGCAGGTCTTTTAACTCTCTTTTCTTTTGCTGATTCAAGGAGCTGGAGACTAAAGCAAGATTTATAAAGTCCAATATCAATAAACTTTGAGTATGGTTTTCCAACCTTATCAGCGACTTTTTCTACAAAACCCTTAAGATCTCTATAGTCAATAAAACGGGCATAAGGATAGATGATATGCCAACTGCATTTATTATCATTTGACGAACTGGCTAAAGGCCTAAAGCAAAAGCACCTAATATTGCAAAATGCTTTAAATCAGTATTTATAATATTGACGCAGGCAATTAAAATTCTGGATAATAAATCTTCGCAAGAAATTTTATATCCATTTAAGGAAGGGAGTTCAGAGTTCATAGGATTGGGCTTTTGCCTCACATCAATATCCAGAACCAGACGAAGAGGCAGACTCCCATCAATACATTCATGAGTATCGGGTAACCCATAAACTTCGTATGTATGATCAATTACTGTAAACTCCTTTCCTGCTATACGAACTATATATTTATCAAAAATCTCTTCGGAGTGATAGGTATCTAGAAGAGCAATGTCATCTTTACTATTAAACAGATATTGAAAGTATACATGATCAATATGACCAGGCTCATAATCAAGGTCTGCTAAACCAGAGAAGAGTCTGGTTGCTTCATTTATTATTTTAGGGTCAGGCCCCAGGGATTTCTTTTTTTGCGCAGATAGCATGGTAGTATATGCAAGAAGCAAGTATAAAATTACATAGAAAACTGTAAATCTTCAAAATAAAAAAAGTAATATGTATGACTCAAAAACAAAATAAAAAAGTATACGCCATTCTGGCCTCTAAACAGATTACTAGCATGAACATGCAATAAATATACTAAATAATACTCCAAAGCAATCGATGCAAAGATTATACTTTTCGTCAAAATGACAAAATACTAATTAAATTTATTTTGATAGACGTAATGTATTTTGACAGACGTAATTAATTTATAGTAATTTTATAATAAATAGTGAATTGGTCCGTTCGCCGAAATATGATGTAATTAATTAGCGAAGAAGTATAGCAAAGATACCCTGAAGTAGAAATTATACAGTGTAACCCATGAAATCAAGATAATCACGTGATCGGATGAATAAAGGACCGAATGGAACAAGGATAAATAATTAACTGATGGATAAATAATTAGCCGAAGGATAAATAATTAACTGATAAAATAATATTTATAGTTTAGTTTAGTTTAGTCACGAGATAGTCATATAATAATACATCTTTATTTTCTTATTGTTCTTAAATTTTTATTAGTAGAAAAGTTAGAAATGGTAGAAATAATTTTCTTAAAAATGTATAAATATAGGTGGGATTCGTTAGGAATTCCGCAATCGGTTTTTGACTCAAATTTAATAAAATAAATATTAATTATTAAAAGTTATCTTGAATATGCTCATTGTACGCTTGAGAATTAATTAATATTATATTATTAAGTCCAGAAAAGTAAAGTAAAAGAAGTTATTCTCGTTTTATTGTATGAAATATAAGAAGTTAGGAGAACTCTCGCAGTTTATAAGAAATGAAGTGGTAATATTTGAAAGAATAAATATTACATAAAGAATAATATTTTGGGAATATTATGAATGAGTGAGCATAGCGGACTTTCTCATTTATCACATTAATTTGCCGATCATTTTCTGATTTTATCACATGATATAAAATGCCGTTACAAGACATTGCATAAAATTTTACATATTAATATGACCTCAAATATTGCAAATAAATTTATTGCACTTTAAATTTTAATCATACAAAGTTTTATTCAAATTGAATTATTATTGACCGATTTTTGCAAGTAGTAACTTTTAATTTAATGCATTTTAAGTAATTTTTTAATATAAATGACTGGCAGATTTAAAAACTCACATAATAATCATACTTTAAATCTTGCAAACTAATAAATATTAATAAAATTTATTCTACAGCCAAATAGGATCATGCTTTTTTCATCATGCTGATATTTTTTTATTAAGCTATAAATAAACTACCATTGCATAATTATTATTGATATTTTTGACGTTGATTAATCAATAGTTTATTGTATTTATAAGATGATCATTGGCGGCTGCAGAATAACACAGTTATTTGATAGGGGGTTAAAATATCATCTGAACTGCTTCGCAGTTCGGTGATATTCTAACCCCCTATCAAATAACTAATATATATTTGCAAAAAAAATTTTATTAGAATCTGAAATAAATTCAAGAATTTTAATATGTACCTTCCATATAAATTAAAAATCCATTATAATTCCTGTTGCAAAATCATAAATAACTCAACATATATGCATGCCAGAAAAATGAATTTATATTTATTTGAAAGGAGAGAATGAGATCTATCTAAAAAGTTAAAAATCGCATTGATTGAATCATTGGTTCCTTAATAAATACGCTCAACACATTTACTATCAATTTGACATAAACTCTTGCATTTGAACGTAAATATCTCCTTATCTAATGATTCAATTTGCATGATTTTTGATTCCAAAATTAGAGCCCATTTACCCCTTTCAAAGGAATATAAAATTATTCATTTAGCATATGTGTATGTTGATAAATTAACGATAATGTCATTACAATCAAAACCTGACACAAAATTTAAATTATATTTCTTACCAATAGTTGTAGCCATAAAACTTTTTTTACTTTATTTAAAGGATGTTATTTAAGCTTTTAATAGAATATACTGATGAAATTCATAAGTCAACTCCTAAAAAAGATGAAGAAATAATTAGTTTATTAATAAAGGAAAAAAAATTTCTAAAAATCCTATCTGATCCTTTAAATGGTAAGGAGTTCTATCAATAAAGAATTTTTTTGACACTAAACTTATTTAAAACTTTATAACTTACACTTAAAAAGAACCTGGAGTGTCAAAATATATCTTTATTTGATTCCAACTATTTTTTGTCAAAAATTCTTTGTAAAGCCAAATAATATAAACGTACTATACATATTTTCATTTTATAAGAAGGTTTCAAGTGTTTATAACTTCTGGATTCCACTTCCAATAGCCAGATTCCTTTGTAATATATTTAAACAAGACCTGAAGAATCAATTTTTTTTATCGTCCTTTGCTATTAAATTTTTTGTGGTACAATTAAAATAAATTAGTACAGCTATTACATGTGCGATACATATGATATCCAGCCAATAAAATACATATCTATATATAAACAATTATGTCAGTATTACGTCATTTAAAAATTACTAGAAAATGTGAATTTTAGTATTTATTATGGCGCCATAACAGATAATTTATTAAATAAAAAACTAAAAATAATACATATGCCGATCATCATGTGATTATTCAAAAATCAGAAAGCCTGCTATGTTGAATGAGTGGTAGTATCTGAAAGAATAGATACTACAGATATATGAGAAAGAAAGTAAGAAGTTAAGAGAAAAAATAAAATCTAAACCAAGCGAAATAACGAGAAATAAAGTTGTAATGTGAAAGATGTGATTATCCACGGGTGGCAGACGTGGGTGACAACAGGAACAGGGTCTAGAAGCCAAAAACGAGGAATTTAAGGTGACCCACTCAAGCAGAATTATATATAGGAAAGAAAAAAAAAGTTATGCTCGAGTGGATCACCAGGTGATAGGCAAGAAAGAGGTCAGGAAGGCAGAAAGGTTTAGGAGAATACATGAAAAATGGTATGAAAGCAATATAGCCTGAACCAATTCGACACTCCGCATGTGCCTCACTCAGCAATCAGAAAGGACATACAAGAGGCGGGATTGCAAGAATGGGCATAAATTCGGCACTTCGTACCTAATCCTTGGCAATCAAAAGAGTTATGGAAGGCAGGATTACGCATCTGGGTCACCAACTCGGCACTTCGTGCCTCATCTGGCAATCAAAAAGATTATAAAACGTGGGATTGCACATCTGGGTCACCAACTCAGCACTTCGTGCCTCATCCTTGGCAATCAAAAGGGTCATGAAAGGTGGGATTGCGCATCTGGGCTACCAATTCAGCACTTCATGCCTCAACCTGGCAATCAAAAAGTGAGTGAATGGATTGCAAAACATCTTCGGCAAATAAATGGATTGCAAATTCAGCACTTTGTATGTGCCTCATCCGACAATCAAGAAATGGCAAAGCAACTATGTGAGGGTGTTCCGGCACCAGAACAGTATCACGTGACCATGGCGCAGTAGGGCCCCTGAATGTGATGATTGGAACCTCGTCGTGATAATTGATGTGATATCTACTATGTTTACTAGTATCAAAATGGCCAAAGTGTACATGGTTACACTTATGTTACTTAGAGAAATTATTCCTAAAGTGTACGAAACAGTTATATTAATGTGATATCTTCGTATTCAGGGGCCATGGCGCAGTAAGGCACAGTATAAATTCAGCGTCCAAGCTGGCCTGAAATTGGCAAACTAATAGAAACACTCAGGTTTCCAACCAGTTCCATGACAGCTCCAGGATACTACCAGGATGCTACCAGGACGAGCATAGCGGACATCCCTATTTTATCACAATACTGTTGTTGATCATTTGCCGATCATTTATTCAATTATCACATAATATAAATACCGTTGCTAAAAAAATTTACATAATAATATATGCTTAAATTTCACAAATAATTTAAATTTAGTTTTAATTTATTGTGTATTAAATTTCGTTAGAAACTTTTTAGCTTTTATTATTATTTGGCATATATTTATTCATTTTACGAAATTATTCACTAATTATGTTACTAATAAAAAACCTGCATTATGAATCAGATCACTGCATTATTTTTTTTATAGATTCTACATAATATAAAGAATATTTGTGCAAATTCTTAAGTTTCGCACTCGCATATTCATCTTCGCACTTTAATTTTTGTCTGATGATCGACAATAATTAGTGAATTATCACTAATAAATAATATATTTATAATATTATTAAAAATTGTGCTAATAATTATAT